TTTGATGAAACGAGTTTACTTTTGTACCAAAGCTGCAGCTGTTACATAATGAGAGAAGCATCGGCACCCTGTACATAGCCTGGTTACTATAAGCACCATAAGCAGTTTGTTTTTCTTAAGCATTTTGCCTTTCATGCAGCTGTCCTGCACCATTTCCTGTATCCTGTGGTGTTTTCACCAATTCCTGATACTTTGTTTTTTTCAGACCTTACATCATTCAACAGTGACTTTCGTTTTCTATTTCTTGGTCAATTGCCTTCGTATCTATGTTTAAATATTTCAATAATCTTTATTTTCCTCTCTGTTCTTCAATGAAATTTATGGTTCATCAGTGCATCGTGCTGTAAAGCTTCCTGTTACTACATTCCCTCATGTTTATTTTTATCGTCCTTGCTTATATTTCAAAATTCATCAGCAGACTTTCGTAGTCGTGTTCTAATAGCCCAGATTTCTTTTCCAAGTAGAGCAACGGCCTTCATCAAGTGTTACTTGACTCTGACTATTTATATTATCGGTCACGTTGCCTTAGTTGTTTGTTCAGCGTCTTTATCATTGGTGACCTGCTCTTATCTCTCAGGAGGTTAGTATGCATCCTGAATATTCATAATCTACAATTCCCAATGCTCCATTTTTCAAGCTATGCATTTGATGGAATTACGTATCCTTTTATTCCTAATAGTTTGTAGGTCTCCGGTGTATATATATACTGAACAGAATAGGGGACAACGAATATCTTTATCTCCTTTCACATATATTCCTTTCTTCATTTGTTATTCATGCATATACGGTTCAATTCGGATATTTATCAGTATTCTTCCTGCTTGAACTCAATTTTCCAAAATATTGTCACTACTTTCTGACACTGTATCCGGTCAAACTGCCTTTACGAAATCTAAACATACAAAGAAATCCTTATCACAGAATTCGATGCATATTATGTAAAACTCGCCGTCTATTATCTTTATTAACTTCTAGATTCTAGTGTAAATATATCACTTTCAGTTTCCTCTTTACATTCAATCATTCTTTAAACAAGTATTCGCCTCTGTGCATTTCCTGCATCTATATCAGCTATACCTATCTATCAAAACGAATTGGAAATTTACCAATCGATATACAGTTACATTCAGAATTCTGCATTACAGTGTCATGAAATGACAGAACCTTTATTCCAGAAACATTTTGTTGCATTAAAGTGCACATTCAAAGATTAGAGTTAGATAAACATAAGCATAAGATAAAGAATCAAGTAATACACCATATTAACAACATGAGTACATAGCAATACACTCAAACGTGTGTCAGTATTTGGTTATGAAAAAAACGTTTTCAAAGATGATTTGATGCTTCATAGAAGGCTTGTCTCGGCATTTCCAAGCTTTTGACTAATTATAAGATGCTCTCGTTCACTGGGTCATGTGGCCACCTTGAAACTCCTTAAAATATATGAATTCGTAGGCTGCATGCTGCCATGCTTATATTTACTAAGAGTTTTATGATCGGGATTATTTCAAGAGAGGGACTGAGCGTCATGACTTTCCTCGTAATGAGAACTAGTTGTGATTGTCGGATTAATAATCGCTTACATACATACATCGATGTAAGATTTTTACAAATATCAATGAGTTTCCGTATCCCCCAGTCCTTAAAATTAGACACTAGTAGGTTCATTCTTCTCGAGGAAGGCTTCCTTCTCGGTGTAAATTCCTAAATTCCTCCGCCTGTTCCGACTTATGGAGGGGATCTGGCGAGAGAGGACTAGGGGAAGAGCTGCCTATCTCTTCTGAGTGCCAAGAAAGGCGCGGAAGTGTGTCGGTGGATTATGTTCTCGGTGGAGTAAGGCAGGACCCTGTGGCAGTAAAGGGGTACTTCGAAGACTTCACTCTGATTTCTGCTTCTTCTTTTACCTTACAATTACTGCACGCCGGTCATGGTTCCAAGCTAAAACCAAGCAGTATTTTTTATATATATTTCTGCTTGATAATAGGTAATGTGTACAACAGATTTGATATATCTGACCTATATATATGTATATATATATATATATATATATATATATATATATATATATATATATATATATATATATATATATATATTAACTTCATCTGTTCACCATTATAAGGGCAAGTAATTGCAATTCATTAACGTGTATAAATTAATTAGTCTCTTTTAATATTGCTCTGTTTACACTTTATTCAAGCCATCAGTATAAGATTATTGTGACGGGAATTGCTTTGACTGAAGTTTCCATCATCTGTAAATCATAAAAGAAAAGGAAAAAATGGCATTTAAAGGAAATTACATAGATTTTGAAATCAAATCAGAATACCATGTTTATTGCACATGCCCAGGAGACCCTAACGTAACAAACTGCTTCTAAAGGTGACCATGGTTGTTTTTAGCAGACGAACGACCATGCCCTCTGCTAAGAAAAGACGAAAATATCCTTTCAGAATTTTAGATGCATAACTACACCGTATGCCTTCATTATTATTTTTTTGCTCCCATACACTCTTCATAGGTGCATTTATACATTTATGATACTCTTATCTTTAACTAACCTGCGGAAGCTCACATATCCTATAAATATTTCAGGTAAAATAAATGGTCTTCCACTGCATGTAAACACACAAAAAGAAAAACATCGCATAACCATGACGGCATTTACAAAGAAACAAAGAGAACGACGCAAATGTATTTCTAAGCCAAGGGATATAAAGGTACTTTCAAAGCGTTACATTTGGGGGGGAAGGACATGTTTTGAAGGTAGTGCACGGCGCAAATATCTGCTTCCAACATGGTGTAGGGTTCCTGATCTAGTTTTTTTTTTATCTGTCATTTGATAAGGGATTTGGCCATATACACCTGATCGTATTGTGTAACACAAGGTCAATAACACACACAAAAAACTTGGACAGGAAATAGTTACTGGGCTTTTATTTCCCGTTATTATTACACTATCGTCGTTATTATTATGATGGCTCTTACTGTTATTATTATCATTATTACTAAGATTATTATTATTATTATTATTACTATCGTTGTCATTATCATTATCATCATAATCATCAAAATTATTATTACCATTATCAGTATCATTATAATCATTATTGTTATTACTTTATTTTTATAATAAGGATGATAATAATAATTAATTTTAATATTACCATTATTATCACTATTGTTGGTGTTATTGTTATCATTATCTTTGTCACTATTATGACCATTACCACCATTAGTGCGATTATTATTATCGTCATTATCACTGTTATTGTAATCCTTGTCTTCATCATTAATATCATTATCATTATCATTATCATTTTTGTTGTTATCATTGTTTTTGTCATTGTTTTTATTGTTAGTAGCAGTAACATTACAGTTGTTATTATTATTATTATCATTATTATCATTTTTATCGTTATCATTATTATTATTATCATTATGGCTATTATTATCATTGTTGTTGTTATTATCATTATTATTATTATTATTACTAACATGGTTATCGTTATTATCATTATCATTATCGTTATCAATATCATTATCATTTTCGTCATCATCATATCATTGATATTATTTTTGTCGTTATTATCATTATCAGTAGTAGTAGTATTATCATTAACATTATCGTGACAAGTAATATCCTTACTGTTATTATTATTCGTGATGTTGTTTTCTATATTACCTCATTATTGTCATTTATTTCATCTCCATTATGAATCATTATCATCACTACGTTTTCTGACTTTACTATCGTCTTTCTTACCAAATTCGTTTTAATGATTTTGGCGTCTGTTTTTTTAGTTCTTGATTTTTATTTTCATGAAGGATTAGTTTCGACGAAAAAGGTGTAATGAACAATGTTCCTATATAATATGTACATTTTATTTTACCCAATCATTACAAAAACTTTAAGTATGCGTCAGTTTGATGAGAGGATGTGGCATCAACAACTCACTCACTCACTCACTCACTCACTCACTCACTCACTCACGCACTCACGCAGTCACTCACTCACGCACTCACCCACTCACGCAAACACACACACATTCACAAATATAACAAAGCCACAAAGCCATTTTCTCCCAAACCGAAGTACACTTCAACAACAAAAAAATTCCTTAGTACTTACGGTCGTTAAGTATCAAAAAATATCTTTAAAAATGTCTTTATATCATCCTATTTACGAACATAAAAGTCTCCCCAGGAATGTCGATCGAAATGTTGCAAAATATATATTTTTTTTATTCCTAACGCGGAATTCACACTCCACGCTTTGAGAACTGGAAATTTAGGATGGCCAAAAAAATGAATAAAAAAAAAATAATAATAAAAAATGAATAAATAAATAAATAAATAAAAACCTTCGACGCACCCACACCACTTCTTACAGCTCATCCCTAATGACGTTCTGGTCCCTGTTTTCGAAGAGCGGAAGGCTGTCCCAGAACGCCATGTGCTCTTCCTTCAGGGGGACCTCCTGGCTGTCCATCTCCGGGTCGATCCTCAGGTAGTACAGGTAACCCTTGACGAAGGGCTCCCACCACGCGCCCCAGGGGGATACGTCATCGGGCCAGCCCTTGAGAATGGGCGTTGGGTCGCTGAGGACACGAGAGGAACTAGATAAGTAGGCCTATTCAGTGAGTGCCTTCAGGATAGAATTGCTTGGAGAAAATACGTTTTGTGCTCGATTTCATGTTCAAAAATGAAATGTATTGATGCATCAAAAATGAATAAATATTAATTAAAAGATGAACCGATCGGGCAAAAATCAGTCTGAAAAAAATATTTGAACTAATTAAGAAGAGGGAAAATGAATGAATGAAATATATATACACATATGTGTATAAATATATGTATACATATATGTGTGCACACAAATATATATATATATATATATATATATATATATATATATATATATATATATATATATATATGTGTGTGTGTGTGTGTGTGTGTGTGTGTGTGTGTGTATGTGTGTATGTGTGTATGTGTGCGTGCGCGTGTGTGTATGTGTGTGTGTGTGTGTGTGTGTGTGTGTGTGTGTGTGTGTGTGTGTGTGTGTGTGTGTGTGTGTGTGTGTGTGTGTGTGTGTGTGTGCGTAAATGTGTGTGCGCATTCATATATATATATATATATATATATATATATATATATATATATATATATATATATATATATATATATATATATATATATATACTGTATATATACATATACATATATATATATATATATATATATATATATATATATATATATAGAGAGAGAGAGAGAGAGAGAGAGAGAGAGAGAGAGAGAGAGAGAGAGAGAGAGAGAGAGAGAGAGAGAGAGAGAGAGAATGAGAGAGGGAGAGAGTAAAAACGACGACGTCCAAGCGCACTGCTGCATGCAACTCCTGACCACAAAGAGCAAATGAGTGTATTCCTGCGTCTCCAACTTAGTTCAGCTGCTTACCTTCCCTTGACGAAGTTGGTCCAGAGCATTAGCATATGAGTGGACACCTTCGAGGCGGAGTCTCCATCGAACTCCTGCTTGTAAATAAAGTCGAGTTTGCTGGAAGGGAACAGGTAGAGGAGCTCGTCCAGGAAACTGACTCCCCAGCCATGCGCACCGCGAGTGTTCTGGAACCTGGGATTGGCGGCGCCTGTGGGGGAGAGTGATGCGATGATGGAAGTAACAGAAGCTAAACGATGGTAATGGGGAAACTAAATTATGGTAACAGGGAAGCTATATTATGTTAATCGTGAAGCTAATTGATGGTAACGGGGAAGCTAAGTGATGGTATCGGGGAAACTATATTATGTTAATCGTGAAGCTAAATGATGGTAAGGGTGAAACTAAATCATGGTAATGCTGAAGGTAAATGATAGTAACAATGAAGCAAAATAACATATAACTATATAATACCATTGATTGTGTTATATAGAAGAAACGGTGGAGATATATAACACTGACAGTGAGGCAAAATAAGTTAAAAGAAAGCAGAAAAAAGGTGAAAGATCTTATCCACAAGACTTTAGCGAGTTTAGCGCTATGTAAAAACTTACCGAAGAGAGAACTGGCAGCATCCTGTGGGTTCTCCTTGTGTAGGATGTCCAAGAAGGACTTGCGGCCGCTGAAGACAAGTTCGTAGCGATAAACAATGAACTTCTTGACGTAGTATGAGTAGTCCTTTGAAGCTCGATCCGTTGGGAATAAGAAGAACCGGTCTGTCATCATCTGCATTTTGGAAATCGGTTTTAATGTTAAATAAATGGTGCGAAGGTACCATTTAGATATTTAGTAATTCATCACGCTTTCATTTATTTTCTCTCATTTAGATATTAATAATCTAGGCAAATATATATGTATATATATGTACATATATATATATATATATGTATATATATATATTATATATATATATATATATATATATATATATATATATATATATATATATATATATATATATATATATGTTTATTTATTCCTATATATATTTATAAACAATACTGACAATTTATTAATCTATTCGTTTGTTTAATATTAACTGAAATGGTTTATTTTCAGCTGCTTTAGCGGCTGGAATTTTAATCGAGAGAGAGAGAGAGAGAGAGAGAGAGAGAGAGAGAGAGAGAGAGAGAGAGAGAGAGAGAGAGAGAGAGAGAGAGAGAGAGAGAGAGAGAGAGAGAGAGAGAGACAGAGAGACAGACAGACAGACAGACAGACAGGGAGGCAGACAGACAGAGAGAGACAGATAGACAGACAGAGTCTCTAATCCGCGTTCGATCCTGCCTTTCAGAAAATTCCATTTACCTCGACGAATTCCTTGGACGTTTCTTCCCCGAACTTCTTTTTACCAAGGTAGTAATTGCGGATCTGTTTGGCCATGTCGACGGGGTCCTTGCAGGAGGTCGGCTTCAGGTCGAGCAGAATTGGGCCATATTTATCCCACTCGGTGTTCAGTTGGTAAGTTAGACTGGAGTCCTTCAAGATATCTGGTACATTGGGAATCATCTTTTATTCATTCATATACATATAAATACTTACACACACAAACACACACACACACACACACACACACACACACACACACACACACAAATATATATGTGTGTGTGTGTGTGTGTGTGTGTGTGTGTATTCACATATTAATTTATTTATTCATCTGGATACGATTGTATTCACCGCATCTAAAATACTTCTGCACCATCAAAGTCAAAATACAAATATATTAGAAAATCATAATCTACATTGTCTACGCATCAACCTTCCTGTGCACGATACCTAATCCCTAACCTTGCCCTTGAACTTGCCCTTGAACTTGCCCTTGAACTTGCCCTGATCCCTAACGTCGAACTTCATCCAGAGAAGCCACTGACCTTGAACCCTAAAGGCGCCGTCCTCCTTGTTGGTGCCCACGAGCCACGGCACCTGCAGGAACTCCCGGTGCTTGATGAGGTGGAAGGGCTCGTCGGGGAGGAAGGCGTCGCTGCCCATCCACTTGTCGATCACGGGTCCGAAGGGCATCGGCTCCTCGTCCCAAGCCTGCAGGAGGGGGCCGGAGGGGAAGATTAGGGGGCGTGCCCTGAGTTGGACATAAACACGCATACGCACATGAACACACACATAAACATCCATCCATCCATACATACATACATACATACATACACATATACACATACATATACATAGACATACACATACACATACATATACATAGACATACACATACACAAACGTATACGCATACGCATATGTATACATCTACATCTATATCTACATCTAGATAAATATCTGCATGCAAGGTGGGCATTTCTAAGGGTTAACTGCATGGCCTTACATGTAGCATGGGAATCTGGTCGACGATCTTCTCCGCCGGGAGGCTCTTGAGGCAGGTGATGAGCTCGACGGAGGACGCCGTCGGGCAGCCCAGCCGATGGCCCAGCTTGAGTGCCTGCGCCCGGGCGTCCCTCGAGATGGCGTGCGGGCTGTAGGCAGTTCCGCTGTGGGAGATGGCGCGGTGCAGCAACGCTGAGGAAAGGAACGCCGTGATTCTTAGGGGGATTATGATAACGTTGCCAGTTTGCATTTTGTATATATTTTTTCAGTCCCCCCCACACACTCTCTCACAAACACACAACACACACACACACACGCACGCACACTCTCACACACACACACAACACACACACACACGCACGCACACTCTCACACACACACACAACACACACACACACGCACGCACACTCTCACACACACACACAAACGCACACACACACACACACACACACACACACACACACACACACAAACACAGACACACACACACACACACACACACACACACACACACACACATAAATATATATATACATATCAGGTACTTATATACACACACACACGCGCGCGTATACACATACATATATGTGTATATATAATCAGCTTCGATTTTGTATATACATATAATCTGGCTCGCAAAAGCAATACTTACAAAAGTCGTCCGGGAAGATCGTTGCCCCTCGAGCAAGCGGCGACATGACCAGCATGTGGGCGCTCATCCCCCCTGCGCCCGAACCCATGATGGAGACGGAATCGTTCATGCCCCCGAAGTAGCGCACATTATCCCTGACCCACTCGAGGGCGCGGATCTGGTCTCGCATCCCGTAGTTGCCGGGTCCGTCCGTATCCTCAGTCGATAGGAAGCCTGTGGGTATGAGGACTCATGCTTTACTGCGACTGTCACTTCAAGGGTAATATAATGTACAATATGTATATATATATATGATAAGTAATTTATCAGTCAGTGATTCTGTTATTGAGAGTAAGAGTGTGACCCAACCGTTACGTCAAGCTACCTTCCAAAAAGGTACTACCTATATTATACATTCCTCCAAAAGTTGTGATAAAGATCCTGTGGCAACATATAATTGAGTCCTACCGATTAATCTCTGTGGAAGTTTCCTTTCGTTCTGATGAATGACTGACACACTCACCAAAGGGGCCGAGGCGGTGGTTAATGGTGACTACCGTGACATCACACTCAATCAGGTAGTCGGGCTGGAAAAGGCCATCGCCACCACTGCCTGCCATCCACGTGCCACCATGGAGAAACACGATGGTGGGCTGCGTGTTGAAATACCCTGGCGGCTGCGGAATCTGAGGGAGAAGACGATCACAAGATGTATGACTTGAATTTTCGTTTTTGTTTTTGTTTGGGGGGATCTTAAATTTTGTGTCGAATTTATTGTTGCGTAGTGAGAGGAAAGGCGACCTGTGATTTGGAAGGATATATATACATGCTATTTTCCTTCGAGTTTTTTTTCTTCTTGGTTTTCAGCATTCAGGCACTAAAAGTAAAAAGACCAATTACCGTATTGGTGTAGACGTTGAGGTAAAGGCAATCTTCCTGGCCCACGGAACCGCGTCCTCTGAGGTTGTCCCATTGGATGCACTCTGGAGAATTCCCTGTGGCGTTGAAGGGCGCTGAATGTACTCCATAGGGAACTGGATTCTGAAATAATTTAATCGTCCTTGAACTGAATTTCGAGTTTCTGTACATAGTATTTGAGTGTGAGTGAGTAATAGCTGGAAGGAAGGAAGAAGTGCACGGAAATTAAATGAAGAAAGAAGACCAAGGAACGACTGAGGGAGGGCATATGCAGTGGATACAATCTTTTTATTTTTTCAAGTATGCGCATTCCTCACTATTAATCTACGAGAAATTTTGGAGTTTCTGCCATTACCATTATCTGCAAACATGTCTCTAGTAGAAAATGGTATGCGCTCGGAATTTACATTCTTTTCTTATCTTCATCTCACCCATATACTTGTCGGCATTCAGAGTCCCATCTCTCTCTCTCTCTCTCTCTCTCTCTCTCTCTCTCTCTCTCTCTCTCTATCTCTCTCTCTATCTATCTATCTATCTATCTATCTATCTCCCTCTCTCCCTCTCTCCCTCTCTCTTCCTTCATTTCTTACACACAACAAACTAACCTTGAATCTCAGG